GTTACAATTAATATTTCAGTAATTCCATAGTAAATAGAGGAAGGTACTCAAGTAAAACGGCGACTCGATGTCAGACCTAGAGTTAATTTTTCGTAAAGGATTGTGCAAAAAATTAATTCAACAATGGGAAACTTTTTTCCAACCGATTACTCTTTGAACTTAACTAATACGGAATTGTAGGTCGACATAGTTGTTACCGAGTGAATAATTTTTTTACACTTTCGTTCAAAGATTTCTTTTGTTCCTTTTACTAGAAGTGGAGGAGATTAAAAAGTGAAACATCCTTTTAACACAATTCCTCACAAAACAAAATAGTCGATACGCTCTCTGCTTCCTCCGAGACCTCTTGCAGGTCGCAACCAGACCTCCAAGAGGTCCTTCCTTGTCCCTTCGAGTTGAAGTGGACTTCGGACCAACCGCCTTGGTCGGAGTTTGGCTTGCGAGTCGCTGGCCCGACGGATGCTGCTACTCAGCCTGCGGTGGAGGCGAGTTGGCGACACGGCTTTGTAGGCGGTCAGGGACAGGGTCGACGTTCTAGCCTCCGTTGAAGTTTAAGTTCTGTCCTGGGAAATTACGTGTAAATGTTATACTAGGAAGTATGTTAATTCACTATTATTTTCAAAGAGGTTAAATAACTTTTTTGTCAATGTTTCTGGAGCATTTTTAGTTTTACCAATCAAACAGATTTAGCGGCCAGTAAAAAAAAATGGGCTCTGAGTAATACTGGCTCATGCTACACAAAAGCAAAGACAAATACACTTATTATTAGGACTAGGCCTGAACCGAGAATATCTTAAACTTTCATATTCAATCCCTGGAGTTTGTTATTAGGTTTGGCATATAGAGTGTGTCTGTGTGAATCTCCAGCGTCTGAAATTGGACTCTTCTCTCGCCAAACAGTTTTCGGCAAACAATAACCAAACAGGAATACTTTAATGTGAATTTGTTGCCATTTCTTTTGGCAAGATTTCCCCTGCAATTCTTGTATGCAGCACAAGACAACAGCCAGTGTTAGTTAACAATCAAAGAGAAGCCTGCAGCAGACTTTTAAAATGTAACAGGATAAAAATGCAAAAAACACTGGCATGCACATTCATAACAGAGATACAAGAGTGTTGGAGAGGAAACAGTGTGTGTACTCAGGTGGATGCTATGAGCTTAATGCATTATAACTGTTTAATCAAATTATTAATCTTACAAAGCCCTAGCAGTACGTCTGATACAACACCGCTATTCATACCGGATACTTCAAATCTTTGACTGACACAACATAGGACACAAACTTAATTTCCAGTCATCTGCAATCAAGTGTTTTACCACCTTAACTTTCTGGATGATCGCTGAATGCTTGTTTCTGTTGTATAACAAGTCTGGTTGGTGAATTTACAGGGAGTGTGCTGTCATATTGGTTAAATGTAGTTAAAGTAATAGGACTTGTCAAACAAACACAACGTTGTATGCTCACTTCACAGCAGGGAAACACAATTGGAGAGAAAAGGGTTGGGTTTTTGGCAAGATCTGGTGATGCCATTAACTTAAAACTGCACTAAGCAACACTGTGAGACATATTGGTTTATACAGTATGTACATCATATATCTTCATTACAACAATTGATGTGGTGAAAGCACTCAAAAAAACATCTGTGCTTTGTGTAGGTGGTGCTTTTCACCTTTAGAAATCAATGTAAGTTTACAAGTCTGTATGAGATATATCTTTAAAGTCACAAAGCGGCACTGATATTGCTTAACATCATTTCTGGATTGCGAGTTCACAAAACCAAATATCTTTGGTGGCGTAGTGCAGTTTTAATATACATTAATTGGTTGTTGACGATGCTCAGATCCAAGTGCTCAAGGAGGATCACAAGGGAACAAATCACAGGAGCAACACTGGTGTCACAAGGTCAGGGGTCACATGGTTGTGGGTAAATTGTCCAGTTACTTAGTTACTGTTACCTTTGATGACTCTCTCGATTTTCACTTTATAAAAAAGCATAAAGTATAAATGTTGAACAAGTAAAAAAGATAATTACAAGTTAAAGCTTTTATTAACTCTGATATTTAACATTGATCTCCATGAAAATGTGTTTCCAAAAAACATTACTGGATGTTGTTTTCATGGCAGAATATGTCAATCTGAACAGGTGGTTTCAAAAAGTGTTTGTATCGTCTGAGAAACAGCCTTTTTCTATGAACACAATCACGTATTTCTATGTATGAACACATACAGTAACAAGATGAGTACCAAAGTTATGCAATTAACCAAATGTTAGCCTTTCTCTTAATTTTCTTAACCCTTAGATGCACGGGTGACTGGACTCTGCAGTCTTCCATAAGTGGGTCTAAAGGACCCGTATTAGAATAATATGTGTTTTTATACAATTTTTGTCATTTTGGTTAAGAAGAATCACTTGTATAATATTTAGTATTATATTTTGGTTCACACTAGAAATATTTTATATTTAATTTTTCACTGTTTATAATTTTAGACATTTTGAAAAAAAACGTTTTGAACATCGATGCAAAGATCTCTGCTATTCTGAGACCCTCACAGTATTCCAGTCCCTTTTCAAAACTCATCTCTTCTCCTCTT